CTCTAGTTCAACCAAGTTTAGGGTATTTTCATTTATGGAGTGGTCAACAATAAAGTCTGCCACTATTTGCCCTTTGACCGCTTTCAACGGTCTATAAGTCAATGAATACTCAGTTAATGCTAATGCCCATTTACCGATTCGACTATGCAAAATAGGTTTGGACAACATGTGCTTAATAACATCAAAATGTGAAGACACGTAAACATCAACTGGTTTTATATATTGCTTCAACTTCATACATGAGAAATACAAACATAAGCATAATTTCTCTATTTCACTATACCTAGTTTCTGCATCATTTAAAACTCTACTAAGGTAGTAAATGGCTCTTTCGACGCCACTCTCATCCTCTTGAGTAAGCATGCTCCCTAGAGTTTTGTCTGATGCTTCTATGTACAATCTCATGTTTTTGGTTCGACATAAAGGTGCAAGGACTGGAGGATGAGTCAAGTAGTCTTTGATCTTGTCGAAGGCCTCTTGCTGATCTTTCGTCCATTCGAACTTCTCCTTAGTGGCTCGAAGCAATGGAAAAAAGGCTTGTGTTTTTCCGCTGAGATTCGATATGAACCTCCTTAGGAAATTTATTTTGCCCAACAAGGACTGAAGTTCCTTCTTGTTGGATGGCGCTTTCGCTTCCATGATGGCCTTCGTTTTGTTTTGGTTGATTTCGATCCCCTTCTTGTGGACTACGAAACCCAAAAAATCTCCTGCTTGCACACAAAATGCACACTTGAGGGGATTCATCTTGAGTCCAAATTTCCTCATTCTCATGAAGGATTTGCGCAAGTGTTCCACATGAGCCTTTCCTGACACAGATTATATCACAATGTCATCAATGTAAATTTGCATAAAAGACTCAATGTAGTCATGAAAAATCGAATTCATCGCCCGCTGGTACGTTGCCCCAACATTCTTTAGGCCAAAAGGCATCACTACCCATTCGTAAGTGCCTAAGGCCCCTGGGCAATGGAACGCTGTTTTAGGAACGTCATCCTCAGCAATGAAAATCTGGTTGTAACCAGAATATCCATCTAGCATGCTAAGGTATTCGTGGCCAGCAGCTGAATCGACTAACATTTCTGCCACTGGCATCGAATACTCATCTTTAGGGGTTGCTGAATTCAGATCCCTAAAGTCTATACAGACCCTTAACGATCCGTTTTCCTTTATGACTGGCACAATATTTGCTAGCCATTCGACATACCTGGTCATACGAATGAATTTGCATCGGAGGAGTCTTTCGATTTCCTCCTTTATTTTGAGAGGATCTCAGGGGCGAAGCGCCTTGGATTCTGCTTGACTGGTTTTTTGCCAGGCTTGATTGGTAGCCTATGCTCGACTAGATCTCTCTTTAGACCTGACATTTCGTCATAGTCCCAAGCAAAACAATCCCTGTACTCTCGTAGAAACTGAATGGTTTCGACCCTAAGTTGGGGGTCGAGGCTAGCGCTGATATAAGTTGGCCTTTTGATTGCTCCATCTCCCAGGTCAACTTCCTCCAGTGGATCTTGCGCCAACATTTTGACATCGCTGGCCAAAGGATCCTTTTCGAAACCCAAAGGCTCATCGTCATATACGGCATCGAGTCTCTGCCCCTCGTATTGAATCTTAGGGTCGAAATACCCAACTGGACCTGCTTGTTTGGATTTTTCATTGGCTCCTTCAGCCATTTTGTTATTAGCATCCTCCAAGGCCGTTTGTAGTTTAGTCTCGGCCACGTAGGCCGAAATCCTTTGAAGCGCTACGACTTCAGTCATCATCATCGAACTCACTTCCCCAGCCAGTGGGGTCTACGGGAAGTTCGCCAAGGTATGGTAACCTTTCGCCTGTAACTTCCTTGTCCCATCGGAAACCCTCAACGGGATGCAGGTATAGCGAACAATACACTTCGTCATTAGGTGTAAAGTTGAAGTCTGCAGGTTCACATGGCCCTATACTGGCCAAATGTTTGTCAAATTGTCCTCTATCAATTTGATTTATAGGTGCTTTAAAGTATCCCTGATCCGCTTCGATGTATTCGACAATACCATCTGGTCTCCAGATGGAGATCCTCTGATGCATCGACAATGGTACTGCCCCCACTCCGTGGATCCATTCTCTCCCAAGTAATAGATTATAATTGGTGGTGGTCTCCACCATCATGAAGATAGTCGGACGAGTGATGGTTCCGACCGTGACATTCACCTGAATGACCCCCATACTCGAACCCACCTTCCCTTCATAGTTTGATAGCACCATGTTGTATGGCTTGGTGTCTGTCTCACTTTCCCCAAGTTTGTTCAATAGAAAATGTGGCATTAAGTTTACCGTAGCGCCGCAGTCCACCAGTATTTTGTTAACTGGGACCTTCTCTATTTGTGCCGTAATATAAAGAGGCTTCAGATGGTTTTTCATCGCCTCTGTTGGCCGTTCAAAGAAAGCATTTTGCTACTCGACGCAGCCGTTGTTCATTACATAATAGCATACCGGCTTATGAGCCATTATTTCCCAGTCCGTATATGCGTATGAGTTCTCGACTACTGAAACCATGTCGAACTCCCTGGGCATTACTGATACTATGTTGACCAGAATATCCAACGTATCATCAGAATCTTCATCAAAGTTATCGGTCATTTCATCGTCGACCGACTTTATTTATTCTTCAATCCGTGTTGGAAACAACTTTCTTCCTATATGTGTCTTCCCAAAAGCCTCTGTTCGACCCTCCTGTTTTGTGGGAATATTGGTGCTAGATTGCGGTTGGTCTTTATGTGTACCTTCTCTATATGCTTTCCTTCTTCTCTGCTCACGTCTCCATTGGGATCGAGACATGGGATTTTTCTCTTTGTAATTTTCTGACACATGAGCAGCCTTCGAAGACTGAAATTCTTTTCGATAGCTTAACGAAGATCCCCTTTGTACTTCAAAATTCTTCCATCTCTTCTGCCCTTGCTGCTTGTTCTCATTGGGCTTCGTCCACTTTCCATCAGTGGCCTCAGCATTGGGCTTAAAGCTAGTAGGCTTGTTCATCGGAGGCCTTATGCGAGGGTCAGATCTCTGCTGAAGGCCTCTTCGAGGGTCGAATCTTGGCCTTTCGTTTTCTTTCTTCAACCTTCGTGTCCCTTCCAACTTTTGTGCAACCTTCTTGTCGAATATCGCGCTGCATCGGGGACAGAGCATCACACTAGAACCCTTCTCCTGGCAGCGGTGAAGGAAAGAAACGATGGACTCCTCCTGCTCTGGGTAGGCTTCCCTTGTGTGTGTTTCCTGGTAGTTCGACTCACTATCCGCTACCTCCTCATGTTGAGTGATTTGAACCATGTTAATCTCAATTTCTTTGGCCAGGTTAAGCTTCTTCAAGCTTAACTCCACGCCTTTGGTGGCTTCATCGATCTTAACGAAGTCATCAGCTGTTTCCTTGGTCACCATCTCCCAACCCAGATTATTCCTGTTGCTTGGGACTTTGGTTTCACCCTGTCACACCTTAATTTTTGACCTTAAGACTCCACCCCTTTGTGCGTTTTTTCCCGTATTCGTGCTTATTGCCACTAACCAGTTTATGTGAGTGCAGTGCTCTCCAGTAAATTCCTAGCCATCAAGCATTTCAAGGTGCAACCTTTCTAATTCAAGGTTTTCCATTGAGGCGTCAGCAGAGCTTCCTTTCAGCTGGTGTAAAGCGTTGAATTTAAAGGTTTATTTCGGACACCGTCGTAGATGTTCCTTGATGATATTGCCAAAAGGTGGGCTAAACAACACGACCATGATGTCTGTCGCCCAAACACCTCGACCTTAAGACCTGGTTTACCATCGCAAGAGTTTGTATAAAAGCTAAGGCAAATACCACTGTGGGAGTCCACTTCCAATCTAGTTATAATGGCGTAATGCGAGATAGTTACCATCGCTACCTTTTTTTAATACAAGAATTCTTACATCACTGGGCTTAGAGATTTTCAAATTTTGGTTTGGTCCGATTAACGTTCAAGGTTCATTTAAGTTGTGTTTCCGACAAATTTCATCATTCACCAATACATGACTTTGACAAGAGCTAATGCACGTGAAGGATTCCTCATATTAAAGACTTTTCCATGTGACCTGCATCCGAAACTTACTTCTAAAAACTCAAACTCCAAGTTGAGCTTTCAAGCTAAAGAATCATTAAATTTATCATCCATTCAAGACAAGAATTCTAATCAAGCCAAGTTAAAGTTCACAACCAAGTTTTATTATTATAAGGAATCACATGAAAATCTCAAGGTTCTGATATAAGCCAAATGATTAAAGGGATAAAGGGATTTAGTTGTTCACAACAACATAGTTAGTACAAATCTTGACTTCCTATATGGAGTAGCTGGAATATTGGTACAACGTAAAAAGGTTACAGGAGGTACAAGTTGGAACCGTGTGTGTTTACAATTAATGAGACAAACACTACTCTAGAAACAAACGCATCCACACGTATAGCAGAGGAATAAATCATACCAGAACTCAATTTCTCACAGCCTACGCACAATAACGATAACAATGATCACGAGGGATTGAGGAAAATCAAACCTTTAAAACAAGAAGAAATCGAACCAGTAGCAGCCTCCTTGACGTCAATATCAATCGTCTCTACAAAACGGCATCCAGCACCTCACCATCGTAAGTCACTCCCAGATACCACCCACCTGTTGTCAAGCAACTTGCTGTCAGAATTGCGTCAAGGGATTTCCGCAACAACCTCAGCTTTAGCATCAACAATCTGGCCAAGAAATATCATTAAACCAACCAAGGGTTATACCTCAAATCGTTCTCGCGTACGAAACCTGCAACAAGCGCAATGTCAGGATATGTCGCAGCCTGAATTCACTTCATAATAATACCGGCAGCCTCAACTCTTGAACCGCCTGCATAACACCGGAAAGCCAAGCAACTACTCACACCTAACTTTGCCCGATTAAAATCCTATCAAAATCGAAAGATACTCATCGCTGAAATGTCCTACAACATACCTCAAAATCATCCCTGAAGGATTTGTTGAGATGAAGAGACGATTCGCTATTTTAGATGATGAACCTGAATCTGAGATTGAGTTTCAGCATCTGTTTGTTTCGAATTATCATCTTGAAGATGACGATGATGAACCTGTGTCTTTTTTTGTTTTGTCGATTCAATGGAGTGATTACGAGGTTTCTAATGTTGATGATGACAAAAGAGGGAAGATATTCCTACACGGATCTTCTGATAGTGGACTGCAGAAGATTTTCATGCATGTTACTGCTTGGAAGTTTGATATTTCTGGTTTGAAACCTGAGGTGTTGTTGCTATCAATGGATGAAAGGTGGATCAAGCTTCAGAAACCAAGGAAAAGCTTTCAGGAAACTGTTAAAACTATTTTAATTACGCTTTACTTTCTTCACTGTGTTAAGAAAAAAAACCTCGATTATCTACTGTGTCTTTTTGGAGTAACTTGTGTAAGGATAGAGATTTGAGCTCTTATGGGTTTAAACCTTCACAAAAGGATTTACTGGATCATATGCCTTTGATTGGTGAAGCTACCAGAAGAGGTGTTGTCTTGGCTCGGTCTAAGCTTTTGCTCACAGTTTTAGGGGACAAGCCAGAGTATCAAAAACAACCTTATGAGAAATTTGGAGATTTGTTGTAACACCCCCCTTCTATACCCCAAATACATGCATATAAAACAATTAAGCACATACAATTATCAGAGTAAAAAGGTTTTATAATAAGGTATAAAAGAAGAATGCCACAATTTCACCAATAAAACACTTTCACATTTTTCTCCACAAGATATGTAACATTTTCAAAATTAAGCGGAAGATCAAATCGTTTAATCGTTTTCAAAATATTAATCCACGTACACACAAGTTAATCCAAATTAATACATCATATCAGTTAGATTACACGATCACATTAACTGATACATTGCAATGTATCACAAAAGAATGACTATACTAGTCTAACTACCCAGTGTTACATATCAGAGCAGCAGACTCAAAAGAATGAAGAATACTTCACCAAAGGACTCCAGCATCCTAATCTGTAATGCCTCATAGAGCATTATAAAACAGCAGAAGGGTGAGAAATATAACCATAATAATCAAGGTATAAGATTACGTATATATAGGTATCATATAACACATATTCACATTTCTCACCACACTTCATTCTCATAATCATAATCATATCACGTTCACATATATCAACATTATGAACATCCACAAGCACATCCCTTCATGCTTGACTTCACAATCATTCACAAGCACATTTGTACCACAACAATATTATGCAATGTGACTCAACATATTCAATGCAACTCAATGCTATGCGGTACCGACTCTCGTTATCTTTTTTCGGTTTTCACTCTAAACCGGGTCCACCCTTCTAGACCGATAACTCGTTATCATTTTTCGGTTTTTACTTTAAACCGGGTCCACCCTTCTAGACCGATAACAACCAAGCCCGTCCCCTAGGCTTCAAACCCACCCTTCTAGGTTTGGGACAAGCCACTAGTTTCCACAAAACTAACAGACATTGCCTCTTGACTGAATGATGCATGTACAATCAACCAATCACAATAAATGCACTTAAGACCGTTCCCGTGTCTTAATCCCATGCATTCGAATAATTCACCCCTTCGAGAATTTCATCATGATTGCACATACAACATATATCAAACATTTATCAATGTATTCATTTCACACATCATCATATTCAACAACAATGCACACATATCACATATGTTCCCATGCATTCACACAACAATCGCATACATATATGCACTCACAATTCATTAGACGATACACATACATTCCTCATTGTATTCCCATGTATCTCTAATTATCACAACAATCAAGGTATTCACATCGCAATACCAATCATACAATTATAAGTTATGCACACATATTCAAAATGTTCTCATGCATACTCATTACATAATTGTATACACATCGAGCATTCGCAAATTCATTAAATAATACACACATAATCACTTATTATGTTCACATGTATTTATACTTGATGAAATTAACCTTTGAATCACAATTCTAGGATTCACGCCCGTAGGCTACCCCCAGCACACATTATCACAATCGATCATATCTATATTCATATCATAAGGTATCCACCTATGTGAATCAACCAAACAATCACCACATGATCAACACAGCAAAAGAGAAATGCTGTCAAACTCGCCTACATTCGCCTGGAGAGACCCCGCAGCAAACCTTCGCTGGGCCTTCGCCTGGCGAACTCTCTCAGCGAACACTCGCTAGGCTTCGCCTGGCGAGACTTCCCAGCGAGCCCAAGTCAGTAGCTACTGACTTCATTCGCCACCATTCGCCAGCACCTTCGCTGGGCGAACCTTCGCTATCCACCTTCGCTTGGCGAACTCGCCAGCGAAGTCCACTAGGACTTAATCATAATTACTCGCCAGCATTCGCTAGGCTTCGCCTGGCGAAGCTTCGCCTTCGCTCGCCTGGCGAGAGCCAGTGAACCTGCGCAGAACAGATTCACTCTCTGTTCCTCCTTCACCAATCCATCATCAACCCTCTCTTACACATCCAAATCAGTATAAACAGCATCAATACATGTTACCCGACTATTCTACGGCGTTATTACTCAGTTCCAACCGATTAAATCATCAATCTATCGATTAATCCAACATTTGCCCTAATTGGAAAGTGATGGAACTCTACCAAAACCCCAACCCAACATACATAACATCATGCAATGATCAAATAGAAACATTTCTCACCCTTACCTCGATTAATCGGAGCTTTGATGTTGGTTCTTGATGATTTCCACTTTTCCTCTTCTTCTCTTCTCTTTCTCTCCTTTCTTCTTCTTTCTTCTTTCTTTCCAAATGTTTTTCTATCTTTCTTTTCTTTTCTTTCTCTCTTATATATTTCCTTCATTTTCCTTCCTCTCCAATTCCTTCTTAATTTTCTATCCATACCAATTAATAAAAATTAATTCCAATATTAACATAAAATCCCACTAAATCAATTAATTACTACAATTAATAATTTAATGAAATTTGGGCTGTTACAACCCTCCCCCGCTTAGGAATTTTCGTCCTCGAAAATGTTACCTGATTCAAACAGTTCTGGATAAGACTCCTTCATCTGGCTCTCAAGCTCCCACGTAACATTTCCACCAGCCGGTCCTCCCCAAGCGACCTTCACTAAAGCAATCTCTTTACCTCGAAGCTGCTTCAATTTCCGATCCTCAATCCGCATAGGTGATGTCTCAACAGTCAGGTTATCTCTCACCTGCACATCATCTATTTGGACTACATGAGACGGATCCGCAATGTATTTCCTCAACTGAGATACATGGAATACGTCGTGAAGATTAGCAAGCGACGGTGGTAAAGCCACACGATAGGCCGCTTCTCCTATCCTCTGCAAAATCTGATAAGGACCAATGAAACGCGACGACAACTTGCGCGACTTCAGTGCCCTACCAACACCTGTCATCGGAGTGACTCGAAGAAACACATGATCTCCCTCTTGAAATTCAAGTGCCGTCCTCCTCTTGTCATAATAACTCTTCTGACGACTCTGAGTAATTCTCATCTTCTCTTGAATCATCTTGATCTTATCAGTGGTCTGTTGAACTAACTCGGGTCCAACAACACAACTCTCTCCGGACTCGAACCAACACAATGGTGTCCTACACTGCCTACCATACAACGCCTCAAATGGTGCCATACCAATACTCGAATGGAAACTGTTGTTGTAGGTAAACTCAATCAAAGGCAAGTAGTTATCCCAAGCTCCTCCTTTTTCCAATACACAAGCTCTCAAAAGATCTTCAAGCGACTGAATCGTCCTCTCCGTCTGACCATCAGTCTGAGGATGATACGCTGAACTCAAACGCAACTTAGTACCCAAAGCACTCTGCAGGCTCTCCCAAAATCTCGAAGTAAACCGCGGATCTCTATTCGAAACAATACTTAACGGAATACCATGCAGACACACAATCCTCTCAATATACAACTTAGCCAACTTCTCCAAAGGGTAATCCATACGCATAGGGATAAAGTGATCAGATTTAGTTAACCTATCCACGATAACCCAAATAGCCTCAAAATTACTCGGCGTCCTCGGCAAACCCGATACAAAATCCATGGAGATACTATCCCATTTCCACTCAGGAATAAACAACGGCTTCATCAAACCCGATGGCTTCTGATGCTCAATCTTTAACTTCTGGCAAGTCAAACAAGAATATACAAATTCTGCGATATCCTTCTTCATACTAGGCCACCAAAATACTTTCCTCAAATCCTGATACATCTTAGTAGCACCCGGATGAATACTCAATCCGCTACGATGTCCTTCCTCAAGGATACTCTTTTTCAGCTCAACAACATTTGGAACACAAACTCGATCCCGACATCTTATAATACCATTCTCATCAATCCAAAAATCACCACCTTGGCCTTGGTTGATTAAAGTCAACCGATCAGCTAAGCTCAAATCCGATTTCTGTCCTTCTCGAATTTCATCCAAAATACCACTGGTAAGCTTTAACATACCTGTAATACCCCAAATTTTACCCTTACATTTAGTCAGTCATGGCACATGACATCGCATTTTTGCATCCATTAAGCACTAACCAATCATTGAGCGCGATTTGTTTTGCAGGAATTACTCCTAGGGGCGTTTTGGTCATTTTGAAGCATAATTCGTAATTTTGGGCCCAATGAGGTTTTATTCCTGAGTCATTTATTTACGTGGGTTGATTATGTTAAGATATCAATTTGGTTTGGTTCAAGGCGATGCGAGAATCTGATCTGTGGAACATGGTTTTAACAAGAATTCATTCTTCTATCTTCCAGTTCATTTTAGAGGGAAAACAGTGAAAACTTCGACTGATTAATGGAACTTATTCATGTTGAAGGTATTAAGCTTATTATGCAGGATTGGATTGAATTAATTTCAACCTTTATTCAGGGATGTTTGACTGGTGAGGTTTAATCGGATGTTGAGGTGTTTGCAAATTAAATCATGGAAAAGAAATTGGAAAATGATTTTAATAGCATATGTGAAGTTCATTCATAATATTTTATTACAAATTGTAAAGTAAATTTGGATAGAAATTTGAAGTTTATTCATATCATGATTTACAAAGAGGAAGTAATTTGGATAAAGAATATTATGGAATTTATTCATAATATTTTTATTACAAGTTACAAAAGAGAAATGAAATTGTATTTCCTAAAGAGTCCTAAATCCTAAAGATTTCTAAGTGTTCTTCGTGATGTCCCTCGATCTTCACCGCAAATCTCCGATTAACCTGCACAAAGGGAAACAAAACAAAACAGAAGCAGGAAAGGGTTAGAAATTGTTTTCGACACTCTCAGAACAGCGTCATCATCGAGTGCCGGGAGTGGCACAACCGAAGCTGCGTCCTACCCCCGTTACCGACCCGCGCCGTTGGCGTCAGATCAAGTGGTCATCTGTTC